AAGCGGTTTACAGAGAGTCAGCATATTGCCCCCAACAATCTGGGTCCTCATTTTACCCACCTCGGAAGGATGGAAGGCTGAGTCAACCCTGAGCGCCGGTGAGATTTGAACCGCTGACCTGCTGATCTAGCAGTAGCCTGCAGTGCTGCATTTAACCACTGCGCCACCTTGGCTCTTAAAACGGTAGTAAAACTGGCAGCAACCCACCCCTGCTACCAATTCTCCAGAACTGGTCAGAACCTGCTGAATACCACCTCTGAAGCCACTTCATTGACTCAGTATTTGCACTTGCAAGCACAGCTCACCCATCGTTCACATAATTTATTCAAATAGTTCAAATTTAGTCATTACAGATAGTCCTCAACTGTACAATTTGGACAATTTATATTGCTAAAGAAAGCAGATCTTAGCAAATCATTGCAGTTGTTAAGTAAATCATGTGGTTGTTAAGCAAATCCAGTGTCCCCCACCCCATCGTATCCCATCAACTCTGCTTGTGAGAAGCTGGATGGGAAGGTTGCAAATAGGAATCCCATCATTCTGAGAAATTGCAACGGTTGGAAATACATGCTGATTACCTGAATTTTGACCATGTAACTGTGATGGTCACAAGTGTCCTTTTTGAGTTACTTTTTTCATTGCCGTTGTAACTTTGAACAGCTGCTAATTTGAGGACTAACTGTACATGATATATTGGATCATCACCTGATCATTGGTGTGGACCATTTTGTTTGTATAACTTTATAAGCTAAAATAACAATTAGTATCTTCTTTTAACGATCCCATAACCCCTTGCGGGGTGGAGTCCAGACAATTGAATGCAGCTAGGAGAGTATTTACTGGCTGGATGCTACTCCTGTTGCCAATGCGGAGTTTTGTTCAGCAGATATGTTTTCATTGTGCCCAGAGAGAGAAATATCTGCCTCTACCTAGGATTGAACTCATAGCCTCCTGTGTGAGGCGAGAGCTCCATCTCTAGGCCACCATGCCACCCCATAAGCTAAAATGACCATGGCCTGTATAATACAAATACATCTCTATTAGGGTTGACAATTTAAAATCAAGAGGCCCAACTGCAATCTGCTGATGGGCTTAGGTGAAGAATCTGGTCCGGGCAGGACTTATTCTTATAAACCTTATGGGATATTTTTTGTGGCAGCCGGGAATGAGCGTGGAAGAGAGCACGCAAAGCATCACGGCAGTGCTATCCACGCTTTCCGAAAAGGACAACGGGACCTTTCTGGATTGGTTGGGTCGTCGCGTTTCCTGGTGATCCACCAGTCTCCCCTTGATGTCGTTGGCGCATAATGCACTAAGAGGCGATGGAGCTTTAATAAACTACTTCCACTCAGGAAAGTCCTGGTGTTGTTGTTTTCTTTGTTTCACAAGATCTCAAACATTTGCACGTATTATTAAACACATTTTGTAAAGAAAAAAGTAATGGTACTACCATATTTTTCAGACTATAAGACACACTTTTTTGTCTCCCAAAAGGGGGTGAAAATGTTTGTGCATCTTATAGAACAAATATTCCTGAATCCCTGCCCACCCGTCGGCCATTTTTTGGCCTCTGCCTGCCCCTTTTCTGGGCCTTTTCTGGCCTTTTTCAGCCCTTTTTCCAGCCTTTTTTTGGCCCATTTTGGGGGCTTTTTTTGGACCATTTTTAAAGCTTTTTTGGCTTTTTTTTAAAAAAGGGGGGCAAAAAAGCCTCAAAAACAGGCTGAAAAAAGCTTCAAAAACAGGCTGAAAAAAGC